TATTAGTTTGAATTTAACTAGCTGTTCAATTCCCTGAATAACATTTTATATATTTATCTGAATTATATCGAACAAGTACATATTTTCTGTAATTGCATGTAATTTAAAAAATTTAATTGCATATTGATAATCTTCAATGTTTGTTTGTTATACTGTGTTTTAAAGAAATTAATATTATTTTTCAAAATGTGTTCAGACATGTAAAAGATGTACAACTCTTATAACTCAAAAGTCCCAGCTTTGATGCAGCATTGAAATGAATAAAGTGGGAACTTTTGCATTTAATATTAGCTTTTAAACCTTTTTTGGTGATATTAATTTAAAATGCAAGTTTCAGTTTATTCTGGTTAAAATGCATATAACTGTAATAAAGCTAGTCATTCGTATGGACTATTATGTTTATGTTTTTTTTTCTTCTTGTAACAGTCATGAGAATCATTCGAGAATACTGGAGTTAGCTGATTGCCCTTTTCGCTTATCATTATGGAAATTTAATTAAGTCTTGCTATTATTTCCTCCCCCAAACTATAAAACATCTTTGTGCTAGCTACTGCATCCATAAGGGGGAAAAATATTTGAAAAAACAGTTGGAAAAAATACTAGGTGCATGTGAACTTTGATTTAATTTACAAGCTCATAACTTTATTCCCACTGCTCATTGGTTATCTTTCAAGATAATTCATCTGATAGAAAATTGGGATCAACTTATGCTATCATTTAAAAAAAAGTTTTTGAAATTTTAAAATAGAATTCTTGATAGTAAAAAAAATAAGATTCTGATTTTTTTAAAAGTATGTCAGTTTTAGCCATACAGATAGTATATTTATTGAATACTTTTAAAGAAATGAATATTTATTTTCAGTGTTAAATTATGGATGTTTCCATAGATTATGCATAAACTACAGTACAGGATTTCTGCTTATTGAATTTTTAATTTATGATATGAAAATTATGTAAAATTATCGCGGCCCGCATGCAGCCCACAACAAATATTTTTGCGGCCCGGCCAATATATCGGCAAATAATAATATATAATAATAAAATAACATATCGACGAAGAAAAAAATTAAATGTTTACTGCTAAGTAATTAACGATAATTTAATCAGTGTTGTTAGATTACTCACAGCGAGCTGACACACACACACACTACTTAAATTACAAATGCGTGTGAGTAGCTTGCGTTCAGCTACCTTCGGCTTTTGGGGGACACGTGCACTCAGAACTTGTACGCATCCCCCAATAGCCGAATGTGGCCGAACTCATGGTCTCAGTTTTCCAATCATAGTTTTGTACGATATATTGGTGCATGCATGTGCATGCACTTTGCTTTATTATTAATTATTACTTAATTCATATTGTTATGGATTTCATAGTATTTTATTTATTTAGTTTTTTTTATTTAGAATTGTAATTAGATTTGCTTCATGTTGCCTTAGCGACGCAGACAATTTTTGAAAAGACAGCTGCGTTGGAAGGTTAAAAATAGAACAAGTGCATTTAATACCTAATAAATAAATATCTCGTAATTGCTGTTGCCATCCACAAAAATCCAGATATTTATAGATGTTTCCAGTATATTCGAGAAATTAATTATAAAGCTTATAAAAGCCGAGAACAAACAACTCATCTCGGTGATAGCTGTAGTTCTAGCGAACTGTTTGTTTACTTAATGCTTTGATTGATTTGTAGCGATTTCGCTGTGAGATAGAATTAGTTTCTCTGTTTTGAATTGATTTTTGCTAAACATTTGACATTTTGTGATATTGTTAGAATATTTTTGAAGAAATATTTCAGCATTTTGATTTATCTCTTGTGGAAAGAATAAATTTTTGTTAACTTTCTAACATTAACCGTGTTTATTCCAGCCCTTTGTATTCAGTATGTCTATATCAAAACCAAGTGGTAGTAAAATTAAACAAAAAATCGCTGACGAACATAGAATAGTCCAAGTAAAATGGGAATTAGAATATTTTTGCTGTGAAATAAAAGATAAAATAATCTGCTTGATATGTAATAATACTATTAATGTACCAAAGTTATATAATATTAAACGTTATTACGAACACCACAAATCGAAATATAACAATTACGAAGGATTAATGAGAGAAGAAAAGTTGAAAGAGCTCAAGTTAGGAGTGAAAAAGCAACAGTCCATGTTTAGTAAAGTATTGCAAGAAAGTGAAGCAGCAGTACATGCAAGCTACGTCTTGTCCGAGTTGATAGCTAAACATTCGAAGCCTTTTACTGACGGTGATTTCATCAAGGAATGCCTAATAAAAGCTGGAGAAATTGTTTGTACTGGAAATGTGAAGGCTTTTCAATCAATTTCATTGTCTCAAAATACAGTTGCGGAAAGAGTTACTGATTTAGCCGCGAATTTGCCAATGCCAATGATTTGCAATTTTCGGAGTGCCTATGGTTCAAAACCATGTATCTCCACATCAGAGTTACTAAAAGTGAGCAGAAATAGGAAAAATTTGGCATAAGTGATTTACTTGATGCTCAATAGAGGGAGCCACAGGCTTGAGAAAGTTTAGGGATAGAGATGAGAAAGTAAAAACTTAAGTATCATAATTTTTTTATAAGTTTTTAGGTTTTTATAATTTTTTTGTATTTTATATTTTATACTTTTTTTGGTTTTTATAATTTTTTATACACAATACAAACACTAAAGCAAAAGCGGATAGGAAAGAGTTTACGATTAATAGGCTCATTGGCATGTGGCTTGTGTAGGGGAGTGCAAATAATAAATGGGAACGCGATGAAAATATTCTTAGGCAGATTTAGAATCTGCAGGAGATGTGATTCTTAGTAAACAGATTGATAACTTTGCTTGAAGATCTTGGATTGCAGTTTTTGAAGATGGAAAAGCAATTATATGGCAGCTCGCTGAAGAGACGTCTTTCCTTCATGGCGCGGGGGCTGGAACTGATTTTGAGAGGGCGTGTCTTGCCCTTTTGGACGGCGGATAGATGCCGAACTCTCGGCCAATCACGGCTCTCGGTCTCTTCTGTGAGCTGCGAATAGCAGGGTCGTATGCTGGTATCTGCTGGAGTGCTCGGTTATCAATCTGTTCAATTTTGAGGAATAAATTTTGACTAAGTTTTTTAATATAGTAATCAACAGGTTTAATATTAAGGTCCGAATGAATCACATCTGTACGGACGTACCAGGCTGCATTCAGGGCCATACGTAAGGTCTTACTTTGAAAAGATTGAAGTTTTTTCACATGAGTTTTTGCAGCAGTACCCCAGATTGTACATGCATACATGAAGACAGGTTTTATAATTGATGTATAGAGAAGAATTTTGTTTTTAATTGACAGATGGCTCTTTCGAAGCCGCAAATTTAAGTGATCAGATCAAAGCAAAATCATCTAGTTTCGAAAGTTTCTCCATTGCCTGTGACGAGAGCACGGACATTAGTGGCAAAGCTCAATTAGCAGTGTTTCTTCGTTCTTGTGACAAGAATTTTAACATTTTTGAGGAATTACTGGAACTAATACCGATGCCTGATACTACCACAGGCGAAGATATATTTACTTGTGTTTTTGGACTTCTGCAGAAATATAATCTACCTTTGGCAAAATTAAATTCTGTAGCTACAGATGGCACTCCATTAATGACCGGGAAAAACAAGGGCTTCGTAGCATTACTAAGAAAAAAAACTTGGTGAAATTCACGGTTCAAACATTCATCATGTGCATTGTATTATACATCAAGAAATTCTATGCACAAAAGTAATAAATATGGAGAATGTTTTGTCATATATAAAAAAAAGTTATAAATTTTATAAGATCTCAAGGTTTAAATCAGCGTCAATTCACTGCTTTCTTAAGTGAGTTAGATAGTGAATATTCGGGTTTGTCCTACTATACCGAGGTACGTTGTTTATCTTGCTCCAAGATTCTCAAATAATTCTGGGATTTGAAAGAAGAAATATGTCCAGTTTTTAAAAACGAAAAATCAAGACGTAAGTTTGTTTTACGATCCAATATGGATACAAGATTTATCTTTCTTGGTTGATATAACCAAACACTTAACCGATTTAAATTTATCGTTACAAGGAAAAGATCATATCATTACGAACATGTTTGACATAATTAAAGCATTCAAATGTCAACTAGTTCTTTGGGAAAAACAACTTAAAAATGAAGATTTGACGCACTTCCCGACGTGCAGCATGAATAAATCAAGTTTAGATGATACTTGTTCATATCAAAAATACGCAGAAAAAATTGCAAATTTAACAACTGAATTTGAAACGAGGTTTAATGATTTTAGTTCCCTCGAAGACAAATTTTTTTTGTTTTCTTCGATTTTCTCAATAAGTATTGACTCAGTACCCAGCCATATGCAAATGGAGGTGATTGAGATTCAATGCAACTCAAATTTAAAAGCAAAATTCATTGAAGTGGGCGTGCCTGAATTTTACAAATATTTACCAGCCACGTTTGAAAATACTCGAAAATTCGCATATGAAATTATTTCCATGTTTGGTAGTACTTATTGGTGCGAGCAGTTATTTTCAGTCATGAAAGGTAATAAGTCTCCTATTAGAAACCGTATTAATGATGCTCACCTTGGGTCAGCGTTGAAAGTTATCACTGCAAACAAAATTTCTCCTGAAATAGGAAAGATAATAGCAGAGAAGAGATGTCAAGTATCAGGATGTAAACATTAAATTTTTCTTGTTCTTTTCTATATAAATATATATATATGTTTATTATTGTATTATTCGAAATAAATATACGTTTCTATGAATATTTTTTTTTTTTTTTTGCGGCCAGCCTAAAGTTAAACCTTGTTTGTTTGACCCAAATGTACCTCTGAGTTTGACATCCCTGATGTAAATTATAATTTTTTTTATTATGTAGATTTACTTTTATTTAGAAGTTGTTCATAAAATTGCTGTTAGCTTTGATACTTTGAATTTATCAATTCACTGCTCCATTTTGATACTTTTGTATATTATGATAACACTTTTTCTTTCTCTTCAGGATGAAGTTGCTCATACACTAACAGAAAATAGGGTTTTAAGGAATACAAAGCATCCTTTTCTAATTGTAAGTGTTGATTTTCATATATAACTTTGAAAAATAAAAAATAATATTTTTGAAATTTATCAATTAACTGCAGCAGTACAAAATCCGGAATCTGAACATTCTTATATCTAAACCTCTGAATCAGTACCAACAATTTTTTCCTCTTTGCAAAGTTCAAGGATTGAGGAAAAGCAGGTGTGCTCTAAAAGGGATTTTTTCCCCAACTAACTGAAATTCCTGTATAATTACTGTAATTTGGGTTAGATAAGCCACATCTTATATGTGTTTAAAAGTTGAAAATTTAGGTTGGCGGCGTATCTGCCAGAGCAGCGTATGAGGAAATTTTAATTTTTCTCTGTCCTTTAAACTTTGCTAGTTCAGAACGTAAGTTACGCACAAGCGGGTGTGCCCTAAAAGTTATGCACAAGCGAAATTGTAAGAATTTGCTGCAATATTCTAACCTCAGATTGCACTAAGTGCAATAAGTTCAAATTCGCCTAACTAAGGTAGGCGGTGCCCTCTGTAAAGACAGCGTAATGCATGTAGTTTCTGCTAAACTCCATGGTTTTGCTTGCGTTTTCCTATGACGTTTTGCTTTAATGGAAACAGCTATGTTTACTTTCCAAGTGCTGTGTTAATTCTTGCACATTTTTATTGCATTGCAGCTTGCTTTTTTTAATCCCTTATCATTCACACTTTAAAAATATTATTATGGCTCCTACTAAAAGAAAAAGTTATACAGCTGCTTTTAAGCTTTTGGCAGTGAAGAAAGTGATTGAAGTTGGAAATCACGCTGCTGCTAAAGAATTTCAAGTTGACGAGCGATGCATTCAGTGGTGGAAGTCTGAACAAGAAGAATTAGAGAAAATGCCTAAGAATAAAAGATCTCATCGAACTGGTATCATAGCCTGGCCTGTTTTTGAAGACAATTTAGACAAATGGACGATATAACAGAGAGAAAGTGGATTATTAGTATCAACAGTTAGAATTCACCTTCAAGCAAAGGTAGTTGCTTGACAAATGGGCATTAAACATTTTATTGGAGGACCTAATTGGTGTTTCAGGTTCATGAAGCGAAAGGACCAAACAACAGTTGGACAAAAGCTTCCCGTGGACTGGCTTAAAAAAGGAGATAGCGTTTTTAGAGTACACATCTAAGAAAATTAAAGAACAAAATTTGAAAAGAGGGCAAATACTTAATATGGACGAAGTGCCCGTTACTTTTGACTGTCCTTTGAGCAGAACTGTTCATTCATTAGGTGAAAAAAACGATTTTGGACTTGTCGTTCTGGATTCAATGGGATCACATTTAGTGGATACAGTAAGATCTGAAGCAAAAAAAAACTTACCACCAATGTCTCAGTGATATCAGGTGGGTTTGCAAAAATTTTATAGTCGCTGGATCTCAGTATTAATACAATTTTCAAGAATGAACTACGAAAGCAGTGAGAGGAATGGATGCAAGGCAGACTCCATTCCTTTACAAATTCTGGACGAATGAGAAAAGCTTCATATGAGGAAGCTGCCTTATGGTTCAATAAAGCATGGCAAACAGTCAAAACCGACACAATCGGCTTTCATTAAATCGGAAATCATCAAAAAGAAAGTGAAGCTGGTGACGTTGAAAGAGTGATTTAGTATAGAATGATGAACTTGACCTTGATGGTTATTTGTTAACATGTTGAGCACCACGTGTATTTCTTAGGCAATTCCGCTCAAGCTACACGTGCCGCTTAAAAGCGCTGGTATTGTAGGGCCAGTGATTTTTATCGCAGTAGAAGATAGTTTACGTTTGGGACAAGATCCCTATAGGCATTCATTCAACACGTTACGTTTTTATGTTTACCATGTTTCATTGAAATCCATTAGTCCTTTAATGAATCAAAATTAAGTAAATTTTAAATATATTTTCTGTAATTCCATAAAACAGTGTGAATTTTATAGTTATATATCATGTTACATGCTGTCAGCCAGCGGAGGTCGACGTGGCCTAAACGGAAAGTCTAGTGTCATCCACAAATGGCTGACATGGCACTCACCGTGTTTAATTTATTTAATTCTGACATCAATGAGTTGGATTTTGAAGGTTTTGTATAAATAAATGTAGTTTAATTTAAATAAATACTTCAGTTTATCTAATTTATGTATTCCTTTTCATAATATGGTAATTTGTGGTGATAAATGAAGTTTATTGAACCCATAAAAATAATATCTGTTAGAAATCATCAGAGTACGTTTTCGGCAAGTTCAAGGTAAGATGTTTCTTCCTCATTTATTTATATATTACTGAGTATATTTATGTTGTAAATGTTATTAAAATGTTATTGATGATGATTATATCCCAATGATAGGGAATTACTGAATAAATGAATATTGAGTGGCATATTTTGGAATGCTTTGCTGTTGCGTATATGGCAGTGCAGCTGATCTGGTGAACTTTCATTTTTGTTAGTCATTTATCATGTGTGCGGCATATACGCTAGGGCGGCTTATCTACCCAAAATTACAGTACTTCCAAATACATGCTGGCTAGGGAATCGCATTATAGCCCTTGAGTGTTTATTGGGTTAGCATTCTGACCTAAACAATATAGACAAAGCCCTAAACTGTAAAGCCCCAAGACATATTTGTTTGGTATTACAGTATGTTGCTCATTCTGGTTTCCTTTTATTGGCATCATCGATATCAGAATTTTACATGCACTGAAATGGAAATATACAGTAACTTTTTAGAAACCAAAGCTTAAGTAAGACATTTCAAGGATTCTAGAAATATTTTAATATAAAATCTGATCTGCATTGCAAGATCACGATAAGACGTGTCTGCAGATACTTTGAAAAAAAATTGGCATAATTTATAGCCAACTATCAAATTTCAGGATGATGAGAGTTGCATATCTGAACGTTTTTGGACTCGCAAGAAAAAGCAAAATTTTCGAATTAGTAGAATATCAGAAGAAATGCTAATTGAAGATGATTTAACTGAAGTCTTACTTTCCGATGACAATTCCTCAGTCATCAGTTAACTGATGGCGTGGTGAATATAGGTAGTATGATTTTTAAATCCCGAAAATTTGTCTTCAAGTCATATATATTTTAATATCGCTTGATGTAATTCAAAAATCTTTTTTTTTTTAATGTAAAATTCCTCTTTCTCAAAGAAATAGTAATAAAGATTTTTTTTTGTAATTGTTCTTGTCATCTTAGTAGATACAAACTGATTATCTAAAATTGGGAATCGAAAAAGTCCCAACGATTCTAGATCACAGACTTTGTACTGTATCAGTTCTTCTAAATTAAAAATTCTTAAAAGATAAGTATTCTGGTACGGTCACTCATGTACCAGCTTGTGTGAAAGAAACTGAATGATATTAAATAATAAAAAGTAATTATATTACTTGTATAGGAACTTTATTGGGAGTTAGAAACGAAGGCTATTTAAGTATGTGATTAATATAGTTTATGCTTAAATGATTGGGCAGCAAGGAATGAATTGTAGATTTTAACAGTTGGTGGCAGTTGTGTATTGCACAATGTTTTATTTTTATAAAATTGCTACAACAGAGTATATTTCAGAAAAATAATGTATTAAGCAAAGAGGCAGAAGGGTTATTTTCTAGTCAGTTTAAAGAATGCATGACATTAACATCTTTTATTAATTTATCACTTAACTATATTGCACATTATCACTGTAATATAAATAACTTTTGGTATCTAGCATCCTTTGCTTTACTAATGTTTGTTTTATATTTCTTATCACATATGAAAAACCTAAAAGTTTCACTAAAAGGCATTTAAAAAAAAAAAAAAAACACTACCATTAAGGACAAATGGACAAATAAAGGGAAAAACCATTCAGTGTTTATTTTATATGATGATTATAAAATCAATGTAACAAATATGAGAGAGCATGTAGGTTAGGGGCAATTTCCTTGATGATTTGACTGCTTATGAAGAATTATGCTATAAAAGAACATATGCCTACAAGAGTTGAGTATACTTTTAGTTCAAGTTTTTCACATTAGGCTACTTGAGAAAAAAACTCCTATTTTTTCAAATTAAGGCAGCAGTTCTAAATGTGTAACAAACCAAAAAACTGTATAATGTTCTGTCTTACGTTTAGTTGAAGTTGCCAAAAGGACTTTTCTCTTCTCCCTCCAAGTCTGAACTTAAACTCTGGCACTGTTAGTGCTAAACAAAAAGTAGGTGATTGCTCAGTTGACTTCTGGAATTGCAATGGCATAAGAATATGTAATTCACCATGAGCTGTAATCTGCCTGTTTGTAAACATTTTAAATTTTGTTCAAAAGTAAATATTTTAAAGATTCCTTGTTGAGTCTTTATTATGAAGGAAGGAAAGTCATTTTCATGCTACAGCTGTAGATTTAAAGAACTGATAGGGGAAGAGAGGGAAAAAAAAAAAAAAAAAAAAAGCAGTGAGATATGAAAAGTTGATTGTCATCCTCTGTGACCTGGTCTCTAATGCTGTGAATTTTCTTCTGTGTATAACTGTAATAACTTTATGACATTTTGATTTACAAAAGGCTCTTAAAAACCTTTATAGTACCTAAACCTTTGTACCTATCCTAAAAGTAAAGGATAATCCTAGGAGTCTTCTTTGTTCTAGGAATAAGTCTTGAGTTTATATAAATCATTAAGAAGCATATTTCTATTTTAGTCTGAAGGATAAATCTGTTAGAAAACATGTAAGTTCCTTTTAATTCACCTAGTTTTGTATATTAATAAATAATCCAGTGTTGTGGTTTGATAGATAAATTAAAGATCTTGAGAAAATGACAAAAATCTTTCAATTTGTATTATTGCGTAAATGACTAAATGCCGTGCTAACATAATTTTATTTAATGCGACATGAAAAATGAAAAAGGGTCTCTGACATCCAAAATAAATTACAGAATACAAATTTTACTTTCCTTTCTTTCTAATAATTCAGATATTCAGTATTGCTTGAAATGTTATGTTAAATTATTTTCCAAGATAAACTTTTATATAGCATGTGCTTTAAATTATTTTTCCTTTTGATTTAACAGTCTCTCAAGTATTCATTTCAAACTGCAGACAGACTTTGTTTTGTTATGGAATATGTGAATGGGGGAGAACTGTTTTTCCATCTCTCCCGAGAGAGGATATTCAATGAAGAAAGAACGAAATTCTATGGTGCAGAAATTCTCTTAGCTCTCGATTATTTACATAGTCAAGGAATTATATATAGGGATTTAAAGGTAAATGACGTACTTTTTATGTTTGTAAATGCTTGAAGTATTTCAATTTAATTCCTTTTATTATCTTCTTTTTCATAAAACTTTCAACTGGCATTTGTTTGCCTGCTCTGTTCATGTTAGGTGTCGGGGATATAAAAGCAATGTTCATAAATTGATGTAATGTTTTAAATAATTTGTGATTTATATTTGTTAATGTATGTTATGATAAAAAATAATGATCTATAATTTAGTTTACAAGTTTTGCCAACATAGTGTTTTTTTGTTGATCAAGTCAATTTATTTAATTTTCATCATAGATATCAAAAGTTATTTAAAAATCAATGGATCAATGGAGTTATCTAAGGTCCAAGTAAAGCCTTTATCAAGCAAAAGCAGTTGGTATATGTGGAAATGTAGGATAAAATATGTTTTAAGCTGTTATCTTGGTGCTTTTAGAAGTTATTGAAGGAACTTTAGTTACACCTGAAAAAAATCTTCCCTAGAGATGTTCTAGTTATTGAACAAGAGAAATATAATTAAGTTTCACAATGCAAATATAAATGCTACAATAGTATTTATGGATTTTATGATAAAAGGAACTTTTTAAAAAGGTCTGAGATTTCAGACTGCCAGAGAAGTGTGATTGAATTATATGAAGCATCATTGGAAAATCAACTGTATAAGATATGCATGCAATTTTTGCAATTCAAGTGGAATGAGATTGATGATATAGAGCTCTTCTTTTCAAATTAGAGAATTTATAGAATGAGTTGAATTCAGGACTTGCAGAGAAAAATGAAAATAAATTACCGGATATTCTGCTGGCATGCAGGTGAAGATGGGCAAATAGCGAGAGTAAACAGTAGAGCTCTGTTCTCATGAAAAAGAATTTAAAACTAATGAGAAAAATAATATAAGTGAATAAATGGCATTTGTACTGCTAACATCTCCCAAACGAAAGCCCACCAAGAAAAATTCAGAAAAAAATCAAGAAAATAAGATATTTGTAATTTTTGCATACAAAAAGGACATTGGGTAAAAGAGTGCAAATAGTGAATTACTAAATGGAAGACCACAGAAGAACAAGTTAATGAGAACCATTCAATAATCACTGTCAGTGTAGTACTGATGTCCATTTGGAAAGAAGCCTGTGCAGCTGAGACTGATCCAGCATCATTTTGTATTAAGACATGTCATGAACTGCTCCCATATTTTATTCATTTTTTGAAGTTTCATAGTCCTTGTAACTTCCAGGCTGCTGGAAGAGAAACTTTAGTTACAATTAGGAAAGGCACAGTTAGTGTCGACAATTGTTGCCTATAAAATCCAAAGTACCTTTCTAAAAGATATTTGGTATGTACCTGAAATAAAGAGAAATTTGTTTTTCCGTACTTGCTGCTCAAGCTAGAAATTAGAATAGTAAATTTATCTCCATTGCTTGAGAATATTTGTTAAAAATTAATGGTCAAGTAATGTATAGAACTCACAGTGTATATGGTACTTCATACAAGACAGCTATTTAACCAGTTATACCGTAAAAAATAAAATAAAAGTGCATGCTGCTGAAGCAGACAGTTGTTATGATGATATCATCAGAGATGCTGAAATTAAGACAAACATCATGTTAAGGACATGCAGGAGAAAGAATTGGGCATTAAAGTGCCATCTGACAGGAAATTCTGTGAATCATGTATTTATGGTAAAACATACTATTTATCTTTTGGCATAAGGAAGGAAGACAGCAAGTCTAGTGACTTCATTTCAACTGATGTTTGTGGACCTTTCCGTGAACCTTTCCAGGTGGCGACCAAGGGAGGGGGGAGTTGTATTTAAAGACAGCTACACAAAGTTACAGTGTGGCAGTTTAATTAAGGAAAAGTCTGGATTTGCAAAATATTTAATGCATATGCTTGCACATTCTAAAACCTTGGGACATTCAGTCAAATTTCTCAACAACAAGGGAGATGCAATCACTCCAAAACTATTAGCGCTTTATACTCTGGCACAAAATGCCTCCAGTGAATGAGATATGCATACAGTAATGGAAATGGTAAGAACATTCTTTGAAGCTGGATTTTCTGCAGCATTTTGAGCTGAGCACCATTTTTATATATATATTTATATGCTAAATGGAACCAATAAATCATCAGTAGATGACATGAGCCCATTTGAGCTATGGGTTATAATGTGAATGAAATGTTTTCACATAACAGGATCTGTTTATTATGCCTGCATTCCTGAGTAAAGAAGAAGGAAAACAGAGAATATAAAGCTACAAATGCTCATCTAATTTGGAAATGATGGAGACAAGAGGTACTACTTGCAGATAAAAAAAAGAGCCAGTAGTTCCAATCTGTTCATGTGGTCGGGAGCTCACAAGTCGTGAAGAAGGGATGCACGTATGTTATCAAGATGAATTAATTTCTGGCTAAGTCAGAAGAGCTTTGTAATGAAGAAGATAATTCAGAAAATGAACACACTAAAGAAATATCTGGAGGTATATCAAAAGATTCTGAAGAAGAGGGATGTGAAGACATTAATTTGCAAAATAATGTACAACCAAGATACCTAAGAAAGCCAAAGCATTTTCAGTATTGTATAATGAGAGGTGAAGTTTTTGTTGATGATTCTGAAAAGCCTCATACTTATGAATACTTATGATAAACAGTATACAATGAGAACAAGCTGTAGATTTAGAGATGACATCACTGATGAAAAATGAAATATGAACTTAAGAAAAATTACAGTGCAAGTGATTTTTATAGAATCCTGATGGATCTATTGATACATTTAAGGCTAGACTTGTGCTTTTGTATGTTAAGTGTTTTATTTATGTTTTGGAGTTATGTATGATTAAATGTGTTAGATACTTTCTTCATTAAGAAACATTCTTCACTTATGCAAATAAATCTTTATTTGTGCATTACCTGGATATCACTGAGATGGTACAACTAAAAATACAAAATTACTATGCGCGCTTCATAGACGCTACTGTTCAAATTGGCATCCATAATAATTGGTATCTCGTTGCCACTTGGGGAAAATATATTTTAAAATAAAATCGATGCATTGCATTTACCTTCTAGCATCCTGACTTAGTTACAACCTTGGAACACTAAGAACTTATACTTTATAAGAATTTTAAGCTATTACAAAATATAAAACAAAATAACATATGGTTCGTAAACTAATTAAAAAAAATTAAATGTATAATATTAAAATTTATAGTTCGAAAGCCTTTAACTGTCATATAGATTCACTGTCCTTTTCTATTCTGTTTCCATGTTCTAGTTTTAGTAATATGCGGCATGTTGTTATCATTATCAGCAACTCTAATGTCATCGCCATCATCATCATCGTCCTCCTCTGATTCAGCTTGACACTGCCTTGACTTCTATTGGCTCACATAAGCTGTCATACTAAAGAAACATCCTTTCACCTTCTCTTTTAATTGAGTCACTCTGTAGGTATCACTTGGTAACCACCAAAGGTCCTCGATATTTTGGTTGTGTTTTGGTTGATTTTCCAGTTGATTTAGGTACTCTTCTCATTACTACTATTTTTCCTTGTTCGAATGTTAAAGAATTGCTTTTCTTCTTGTCATAATTTGCTTTCATTTTCATCTGCATATCTTCAAATCTCTTTCTAGCTTCATTTTGTAAGATTACTGGAGTCTCCCATTCATTTGCGTCTTCGTCTGTAATCATCCTCATTAATCTGTTGTTGAATTTTGGTGAATAACCGTGGAGCATTTCGAAAGAATTTTTATTTGTAGTCTTATTTATCATATTGTTTACATTTCTTTCACATTCCTTAATCTTTTTGTCCCAATCTCTACGATTTGGATTTTCCATATTCGTTTTAATCGTAGTCAAAATTTTTCGATTTGCTCTTTCCACCATTCCACTACCACTTGGATATTGAGTTGAATTGAGCGTGTGACTGATCCATTATTTTCACATTACTTTCAAAATTCCTTCACTGAGAAACATGTTCCTCTGTTGCTGATAATTTTTTCTGGTAACCCAAAATCATCTACAGAACTCTTCAATGCAACTAACACAGTTCTGGTTGCAGTTCTTTTCATAGGATATAAGCATGTAAATCCTGTAAAATTATCAATTATTACAAATAATTCTGTATTTCCTCTTGAACTTTTTATGAATGATCCTAAATGATCTACATGTTTGATTGCAAAAGGTCTTCTACCAGGTCTAATCGGATGCAGTGCTCCTTGTTTCTTACCACTAAGCATTTTATTTACTAGGCACTCGAAACACATTGAAATGTGACACATAACATATCGTTTCATTTCTTTAAACCAGTATGACTCCTTGATTTTGGCAACAGTTCTATCTGCTGAAAAATGTCCCAAAAGATCATGAAATTTTACTACTATACCTTTTCTCATTGACTTAGGTATATAACAATTTCTCCTTTTCCCGATCTTCCCGATTCTTCATCGACAATTACAATAGATTATTCTTCAAGACATAATTTTCCAGTTACATATTTCTCTACGTTTCTTCTATAGTTTATTTTTTTCTTTAAAATTCTGTTAATTTGTGATCTAATAATTCTGGATCTGAATGGTGAATCAAGAATTTGTTCATCTTTTGTTAGCGCTTAACAAACTTTAAAGTTGTTCTCAATTATAGAGTCTTATTGCTGATCAACTGCTGATCGGTTTAATGCATCTACATGACTCATTTTTTTACCTTGTCTGTGCTTTATTTCAAGATTATATCGGGTGAGTGCAAAAGTCCTACCCATTTTGGGGTATGCAAATTTGCAATGGAATTGATGTCACACATGACATTGTAATGAAGAAAATTATTGACCAGCCAAACGTGTGGATGCCTCACATATAAATGCATCATGTCTCGCATAGTTAATTATCTAAAAAAATCTCAGAAGGTGTAACATGGAAAGTGAGAAGGAGCATATAAGACTCTGTTTGTTATACAAGTTCGATAAAAAGAGTACGGCAGCCGCATTATGTCGCAATATTTGTCAAGTTT